ATAATTTACTGTATAACTCACCATCTACCACTTTAAAAATGAGTGATGGCCTTTCATCATTAAAGCGTATACATCCATCCTAACATCAAGTTGACGAAAGCCAAAATATTAGAAAAATGTCCGTGAAGTTGTTAGAAAAATTTGACAAAAATTTGACAAAAAATCAGAAAGTTATAAAAAGTTTAAAAGAAAAACTGTTATTTGAAGACTAATTAGATTTTGTACTATATATGCAATAAACATACGTGTATAAAGCAAAGGAAACGACGGATTGCAAATTTGTATAGAGATCTCCAAAACTTATTTAAAAAAAAAAACTTTTTATTATCCATCTGCATGATTTTTTTAAACTTTCGATGGATAATTTTCTATTTTTTTCAGCTTAGACAGAAATAATTTTGTTATTGATATGGACGTTCTCCTTTAAAATCTATAATCACAAACGAACAAGGAAGTACTTGGCAAGCTTGTTTGGAAAAATGAAGTCAAATTACTTCCTCGTTTCCATACATGGCTGGAAAGTGAGTGATTACTTTTGTAGTAAAGACCCATTAGCCGCGCTCTAAATATTAAAAATAATGACAAACCAGAATAACACAATTCCGTTCCCTTTCCCTTCAATAGCATTTTTATATCTGAAGGAAAAGGAATGTTAGAATGCCATAATTGTTTTTTGCTAATAATAATTTTTCTAAGCAATAATACAAATACTTGCAATATCAGACGGCAACAATGTTATGAAAAAAATATGTTCTTTTCTGTTTTTTATATTCGTATATTGTCTTAATGACTCTTTAAAAATACATGTATGCAATTTATATTTGTTGGTGTACATGCACTTTTACAACCTCCTCTTTTACTTCTTTTCTTCATGTTTCTCCTCTCCGTTTTTCTGACTTCATGTTATATTATGTTTTCTTATTTTTGCTGCCCAAGCAATCTTATCATATTCACTATATATATTTCAATCTTGACAAATCAATCGTAACTGCATTTTATATTTGAAATATGCAGTGATTTTTTATTGTACATATGACCAATTCAGCCATTGGGCTGCCGCGACACATGTTTTTGATAAACCTTGAATTGAATTGATTTGGATTGAATTGGATCTCTCTCTCTCTCTCTCTCTGTTTTCATACACACTCTTTCTTGCTATCACTTACTGCCCGTCCTCTGTGTTCCGCTCGATTTCCCCCTCTCTTTTCTTCTTTCTAGTTCTCATCTTTAACCCTTCCACCTCTTTCTCTTGCCTTCTCCCTTGTCTCTATTATCTTTCCACATTTCTCACAATAAAATTCTCTTTATATTCTCCTTATCATCGTTTTCTCTTTTCCCTTTCCTGTCCGCTTATTGTATCTTTCTTTTTCTCTCTGTTTTCACCTTTTTCCCCTCCACTCCTTAAGCCCCTCTCTCTCCCTGATGTTTTTCTTTTCAACCTTTCTTTCTATTAAGTCCCGCAGCAAAGACTGACTAAAGACTGCAACACACTTTTAAGCAGGGCTCCCACTTAGCCCAGTTGGAGCCACGAGTTGTGGCGAGCTGGCACGATCTTATGGCAAGCAGTTTTATCATTAAAACATATTTCTTGATATTACGAAATTGAATTCTTGATATCACGAAATCGAATATTTGATATCTCGAAATCGAATTCTTGATATCAAGAATTACAATTGCTTTACAACGTAAAATTATTTTTTTATATCAAGAATTGATTTCTTGATATCAAGAAATATGTGTAAATGATAAAACGGCTTGCCATAAGATCGTGCCAGCTCGCCACAACTCGAGGCTCCAACTCGGCTAAGTGGGAGCCCTGCTTAAGGCTCTTGCAGGCCCTGGAGTGCAGCGTTTAGACTAATCAAAATGCAACAATCTTCTCGCTCGGTCGCTACGCTCCCTCGCATATTATCCTTGAAAGTATACAAGTAAATATAATTGTAAAACAATCTTTATCCCGTTGTTATAGCCATGCTACCAACGTTATACAGATTTCCCCTCGCTATTCGTTGTCTCTCCCCCCCCCCCCCCTTGTCATGAAAACAAATTGCCGCCCTTCCAACAACTAGAGCATATTATAGAGACTCTCGATTGCAAATAATACCCCATCAAAAAGATCATTTTAAGTGGATCACACTTTGAAAAGTCCCTTTTAGGTTAAACAAAATATGCAAGAAATCAACGGAAGCATCAGGTATACTATTTACAGTGTCCCTACCGATAGTGCTAAAAAAAAATATTAAAAAAATGCTTTGACAATGTCTGTTTATCTTGTATCTGTCTACCATTTTGTTCAATAAAATCACAATGCATTTTTTCCCGAACTTTCATTAAAATATCATTTATGGTTTTCCAAGTTGCCCTAATATTACTTTTTACACATTTAAATCTAGAAAAACAATATTCTCGTTTACGTTTTCGTATCTCACTGTTTACTTCATTTCAATAACACGAGTATACATTTTTCTGATAAAAAAGGTGGATTTTTGATGTATTTCCTAAATAAAACATTTTCTTTTTGCACATTTTCTTTAAAGTTCAGCATCAAACCAAGGCTTTTGTTGTCTTTGTTTTATTTTCATTTTTTTGAAATGGAAAGCATTTGTTGTAAGTTTCAAGAAAATATTTCACAAAAACATCAAAAACATAGTTAACATAATCAAATTTTAAAATCTCACCCCCGTTTGTCATAAGTAGCCTTTCACAGAACACAGAAATATTTGAGTCATATATCGCACGCTTAAATATTGCACCAGGATCATCATCATTAAAGAGAAATTGCAATTGACAAAACATAGAGAGATGTTCACTCACATCAGCGAGGAGTATCCCAGCATTTATATTATTTTCAGGCCTGTTTAAAAATATATTTTCTATGAGGGTAACAGATTGTGTAGTTATTCTTGTAGGTTTAAGAATCACAAAAGAATAGGACTTTAAAATATCAATAAAACTATTTACAATATTGCACGAAGTAACCTTTAAAGGTACTATGTCCCATTTGCAGGCCAAATAAAAAATGAAAAGGTTAAATTCCAACGGAATTTGAAAGACAATACTAATTCAGAACTTCCCTTAAAAAAGAGGGCTTAAAAATGTCTTTAAGTTTGAAAATAACGACTATTAGTTGTCGAATCGACTTAAGAACTATACAGCCACTAAGTAATATTCTGATTTTCAGACCATTGTACCGAATAGTTGTACGTTTTATGCTGCGCAAATATTCAATCAGTTTAAGTTTGGCCATTACAAGTAGTGGGTTATTGATCTAGACAAATGCTCATGTACCCTTTACAGCTCATTTTATGTATGTTATTACCAAAGAAGAAAAAAAAAGCCAGTCAGTCACTCAATAGTGTCTAACAGTGAAGTCTAGCATTTGTAGCAAGAAAATAGATTTCCTTGCATAATTTGAATATTAGGACACTGCTAACGTTTAAATTTCACAGATAGGACATAAATGACATATTTATAATTCCTGCAAAGTTCTACAGAATTTGATGTTGGCTGCAAAAGGGACATAGTATTTTTGATAAGTCTAAATATAATCGCCAATTAAAATACATTCTTTCTCCTCTTGTATTACTTGATGCAGTGGTAATTATAATGCATTTAGAAAAAAAGAATCTGATTGAGCAGGTGGTCTATACAAGATGGCAAGAATTTTATTGAATATTTACAATATATTTCAATAAAAAGAACTTCAATGAAGTCATTAAAAATATCAAGGTCTAAACGTCTCCTAAATTTCGAGTCCCTATCTAAAAGCCTACTCCTCCACCACGTTTCTCGGCACTCCCTTTTCCAACAAACTGATAAACATTTATGTATACACATTCATCAGTTTTTAACCAAGTTTCAGATACAGCTATTATAGAAAATGGACATTTCATTTCTGATAAAACATATTCAAGACTGTCAATATTCTTCTTTAAACTTCTACAATTAAATGAGCAACGGTTAACATTTTCTCTTTGGAATTTGAATCATGAATTTTCTTATTATAATCTGATGTTGTATGGTCAAATATATTTAGACCAAAATCATCTTCCAGAGCCCGAAAGGAAACTAAGTTATCTTCACAAACATGACATGTGAGACTATTTATATTAGATTTTTGCCTTTCACAAACTACACATGCAAATCGTGACACTACACTTAAACACAGATTATATATATTAATAAATGATAGAATTTAGAAAGAAAAAAATGGACAATAGGAATTGCATCCAGAGGCATATATATATATATATATGTGTACATATATATGTTTTCTTCTTCATAGTCATAACATAGCAAAGGAGTCAACTCCCCTCATGATGAGAAATGGTGTGTTTATAATATATAGTTATTGCAAATTTGTTTTTTATTCGGCCCCTGTATGTGAAACAAAACTATTCCATCATCAATTATAACTAAGAAAGCTTATGAAATGTTCTGTAGTAGTAGTAGTACTAATAGCTCTATACAGAGCGAATTTATTTTTCATTTCTTTTCACATAATATAAACAATGACAAACAATAATAAACATAATGATATAACAGAAGTGAGCATTGACATATCTTTGACATTGTACAGAGGACAGCTCGCAAGATACATCATAGTGCAATCCAACATGTGTTTAACTGAAATCAAGTTAATAACTATCCTATTTTTATTCGGATATAGCTAAATAACTGAGTTGTTTCTCTCTTCTTTTCTGCTTTTATTCAAATTTATATCAGGTTAAAGGCTTTCCCTTTAATTTAGGCTAATTCGGAGAGATCTTCAACGGAGAAAGTGGAGTGGTATATTGACTATTTTACCATTTTTAATTTGATGGTGATCGATATATCCAAACAGAGAATTTCGATTAATATGTTCGATCTAATCTTTACTTAAATCATACAAATTCAATCAATATTCAAATATCATGAACCTCTACTAATTAAGTTTAAGACAAATGTCATATGACTACAAATGGTTGATATGATTTTGACACTAGTATAGATCTACGTACCTTGAATTCACTGTACTTTCCGAAGTTCCCGCCGATGACAGTCAGATTAGAACACTTGTCACGTCGCGGTATATTTCACCCAATGAGTATCTACCTGTATATGAATAATGTACAAAAACAGGTATCCAGGCCACGCCACATTGATTTATGTGCATGTAGTGGTAATTTACAAGTGCTGATTGATATGCAACTTTCAAAGTTGCGGCCCTGCGCTTTATACTAGCGCTATGAGTGACACTTCAATTTCCAGGGAACGAGTTCCGGATCGTACGCCCACGTAAAACAAAAGAGTTTAATATTTCCAGTAAGATTTACCAGTTGAAACCAGGTGACATCTAAGACCAGTTAATATTTAGGTGATACGTACGTAGACCTTTTGATTTCGTCAAGATTTTTATTATTTATTTATTAGGTGGTCTGTTGAAAACAGATCCCCTATTGTTTTCGTCAGAATTTTCTTTCTTTATTATTTATTTTTATTTCTCCGGACTTTTTTGTTAACAGGATAACTCAAGATCAGTTCAATCAATTTCGTTCAATTTTGGCACAGTCATAGGTCATTGTCATGAGACGTGACAGTAACATTTTCAAGGTCATCAAATTTTCATGACATCATCCAGGCGCCATTTTTTTTTTTTTTTGGTACTTTCAACTTATGATCATATCTTCATAACGGGAAGGCATTTCTTATTCATATTTATCATGATTAAGGTCAATATCCGTCCGGTCAATTTCAGGTCAAAAAACGCGCGCGCATGCGTACGTCCGCGCGTCAGCTCGCGCGCAAAATTTCAAAATGCTCAAAATCGTCTCAAATTTTTTTACATACGTTTCATGCCATTTTAAGCATTTCGCAAAAAAACGCGCACACGCACATGCGCGCGCGTTTTCGCGCGTAATGGCATTTTGCAACATAAAATCGCCAAATTTTCTATGTCATCATATTTGGCACATTTTTTCAAGCATTTTGATACCTTGTTCACCTTTTTCTGACCATTAATAACGGAAGGAGCGTCCGTTTAAGATAATTTCCGTGCGTGCGAGCTCTTGTAATACATAGCATACATGGGCAAAAACATGCCTATACAAAATCCATTGTAGCGCTTTAGGATGGAAGATGAACCCAATTTTGTTTTCATATTTTGATAGAGTATGAATTGGAGATATGATTTCATGTCTTATTTGACCCTCAATTAACTCATGACATCATCATAATGGCCTCCCAACTCAAAATTTCAATTTGCATATTATGACGTCAGCAGATTTCTTGAAAATTGATTGTATCTCTCTAAATATTGATCAATTTTCATCCAAATTTTGATATGTTTTAGCTGAGACAATTCCCTACAGATGCAGTAAACACGAATTTTCATTTTGACGAAAGCATCATGGCGTATTTTTGCGATTAAAGGAGGCATGTCAATTTTTTACATTTTGCGTGTATTCTCTATGGGACATGACTTTTTCTCAAAACTGGATTCTACATCCTGTCTTTTGCGAGCAATATCTCCGTCGTTTTAGCTTTGTTTACGCTGAACTTTGAGTATGTTGTAGCTGAGACAATGAGCTATCTCCAATGTGTACTTCGTTTTTCGATCATATGCCGGGATCATGCTCATATTTTACTTGCAAAGTGGGATTTTAGAATTCCATTTTCGTTTACGTGTAATCGCTATGGGAAATGTTTTGGTATATCGGTAACGCACTTGACTTCCGACCTTGAGATCCCGGGTTCGAGTCCGGGTGTCTCCCCAAAAAAAATTCTGAACTTTTTTTTTCTTGTTGACCTTTCACTGTACCATCTCCTTTAATTATTCGAACACGTAGAATCGCAAATAATGTCATAAACAACCCTATTTACTTTATTGTTTCCCTATTTTCACTTAATCCATTACTTTTTGCGTGTAATCCCTGTGGGAGATAATTTTTTCTCAAATCTGGATTCTACATTCCTGTCTTTTGCGAGCAATATCGCCGTTATTTCTGCTTGGATTTTGTTGATTTTTGAGTATGCTGTAGCTAAGACTATGTGCTATCTAAATCACCCCTCATTTTGTCAATAAGATGTCAGGATCCCGCTCATGATTATGATCTTCATCATGATCATCATGATCATCATTATCATAATGATGATAATCATTTATCAATTACATTTTCATTTCTTTGAATAAGATAAAATCGTCAAAATGTTATCTTCATGATGTAAATTAGAGTCAAAGGTGTAACTGGTTACTGCGCAGGGTCAATGGTCATATTTTTTCAATCTATCTTCCCTACATCCATAATGATCAAGGGGACACAATTTAAACTTGACATATGGATAGATCTTAATGGATGAAGCATTTCATGAAATAATATGATATCGTGTATTGCATTCTTTATTATGTAAACCATTAGCATACGTATCACCTAATTCGTCAAAGTGACGAATTAAAGTCTAGTTCCATTTGATTTACCAGTTCAAAACAAGCTGAATACCAGTCGATTTCCCAGTTGAAAACCAGTAGATTTACCAGTTGATAAACCATTTGAAAACCAGTTGAATACCGGTTGATTATCTAGTAGAGATTTGTTATCACCTAATAATCTATGCAGTAGCGTACGCTGGAATTTTTCAAGGGGGGTGGGGGGGGGGGGGGGGTTGGTCTCGAAATTTTAAAATTTGACATTTTTCCTCGTTGGGGGAGGTGAGGCTAACGTTTTTAGGTCAGCTATTTTGTAATTTTTTTTTAAAATAATTAAAATGGGAGGTTTTCCCCAAAAATACACACATAAAAAATACCAAGGGGGGGGGGGGGTCAACCCCGCACCCTCCCCCCCCCCCTGCGTACACGCCTGAATCTATGACCAACATTGGCATCTGTCCATCAACCAGGGGCGGCGAGGGGAGGGGACACGTCCCCCCCCCCCGACAAATTTGAAAAAGTGCTACAAAAAAAAAATAGCAAATACTGACTAAAAACTGCAAATCACTTTTAGGAACTTGAGGGCCCGCTTCTATTTTCACCGTTTTGCTTCACTCCATATCCCCTCTCTGTGATTTTTCTTTCAATCTTTCTTTCTATTAATATTTTCTTACAGCCAATACTGTCTAAAGACTGCAATCGGACATTTAGGCTCTTGCGGGTCCAAGAGCGCAGCGTTTAGACTAATAAACATGCAAAAACTTTTCGCTCGATCGCTACGCTCACTTGCTTGATATCTTTCAAATATACAAGTATTAATGTAATTGTAAAAAATCTGTATTCCGCTCTTATAAACACGACACCAACGTTACAAAGATTTTCCCTCGCATTTCGTTTTCTGCCCCCCCCCCCCGGTCATGAAAATAAATTGCCGCCTCTGCTACCAACTAGACCATATAGAGACTCTCATGGAATTTAATACCCCCATCAAAAATATCATTTGAAGTGGATCACAGTTTAGTTTCGTCTCAAGTAAAACGTTTGGAGCTCGAACATGGATATATACAAAATTATACAAGTTGTTTCCTGGTTATTTATTGGATATATCAATATAACAACATGATCACACATAAATAGTATATGTCAATAATTGACTAAGAAAATATGAATCACAAAATAGATGTGCATCGTCACATCTGCTTGGCAGATCATGATGATTATATTTTATGCGAAACATGCAAATTAATCATGAATATACATAAGGCAGATTGAACTGGTTTTTCAACTCGTAAATCAACTGGTTTTTAACTGCTAAAGCAACTGGTAATCACCTAATGGTTTTCAACCGGTAAAGCAACTGGTAATCATTTACTGTTTTTCGACTGATAAATCAACTGGTAATCAATCTACTGCCTTTCAACTGGTAATATCAACTGGTTTTTCAACTGGTGCCAGTTGGCTGTTGTTCAACTTCCATATTAAAAAAACCAGTTGAATATACTGGTTTCAACTGGTACCAGTTGAACAAAGCTATAAACGGTATTTGGTGCTGCATGGCTGTTACTATCTTGACGCTTGTGAAATTTGTTGAATTAAGGTAGTTTTCAGATAAAATGCTTATTGCATTAGGACTATAATTGTTATGATATTTGGGGTAAATTTGGAGTAAATCATGATATTTAGGTTAGCTTGGACACTAAACATTTTGTTAAATCTACCCCGTTTACAGTCTGTGAAAATTAGGAACGTAAATCTTATTCAGCCATAATCCATAGAAATATTACATAAAAATACATAAATTATACTTTAAAAAGTATTATAAACCTTACATATCATGTAATCCATGCTTACAATTTGTTTAAATTACTTCAGATCATTTTGTGTGTACCAAACACAGTAGATGTTATTAAAAATCTGTGTTATTGTGCAGCAAAATATATTAAATTTAGATAAAACTGACAACTCTCCGTTTAAGACCTCTATTTTAATGAAAAATTGTAAAAAAAACTAAAAAGGTAGGGAAAGTGTGGGATATGCCACTATGAGCTAAGCATAAGTTTTACATACGATGTAACAATGGAGAGGCTACAATAAATATGAACCAAGTTACAATGTTCTTATTTAAAGGTTTAACATAATGATTCAGGTCTCACCATCTCGTCCTCCATACATAATAAGCTATGCCGGAATGTGGCTCAAATTTAACTACTCCAAAATGTATAGTTCCCCTAATTTACAAAATTGAAGAGGTCTCATTTACATTCTTTTTTCTTTTTTCTCCCTTTTCTTCCCTTTTCCTATTTTGGGGGCTGCCAAAGGGAGGGGCGCGGGTCCACTACTGACTAACGTTCCAAAATGGGTAATTTCAGCATTACCATGAAATGATGCTCAAAATGAAGTACAATTTAAAAGTAAAACGAAAGAGAAATCCAATTTGCATTAATAATAATCTTTTTACACTTCCTCGATTTTGCAACGCGATAATTTTTATGTGCAATATTCATTCGTATAGCCTTTTCACCGAAAATTGACTATTCAAAATCTGTTTCTTGTATGATAAATGACATTTGCATGAGTATGAGCTAAATTGGAAATTGAGAAACTTAAAAAAAAATTCCTTCTCATTTTCCCCCCTCTCTCTCTCTCTCTCTCTGTGTTTATGCACATTCTCTTGTTATCACTTACTACCCATCCTCTGTGTTCCACTCGATCTCCCCCTCTCTTTTCTTCTCTCTCGTTCTTATCTATAACCCTTCCACCGCTTTCTCTTGCCTTCTCCCCTCTCTCTATTATCTGTCCACATTTCTCACAATCTTCTCTTTATATTCTCTTTATCATCGTTTTCTCTTTTCTCTTCCCTGTCCGGTTCTTGTATCTTTCAGTTTCTCTCTGTTTTCAACCTTTCCTTTACTCCTTATTCAACCTC